CGTCACGGGCGAAGACAGGACCGTGCCGACGGCGCCAAAGTGGGGGCCGCCGGTGACGGCGACGCGGCGCGAGGGCTGGAGCCGGGCCTGCAAGGCGAATGCGCCAGCCTCCGGGCGTGGAACACGGTGTGGTGCAGAGTACTCGGAGCACCGCGTGAGTACGAGGCGGGTCGAGTGCAGTGAGGGCCGCGGAACGCGGTCGAATACGGCGGAGGGCGTGTCCTCTCGAGCGCCGGCTGGAGGACGAGAGTGCGGCTTCCGCGTCTAGGCAGCCGGGCCAGCCCGCTAAGGCCGCCCGAGCGCGGGGGCAGCGCCTCGAGGTGCCACTCCGGGAGCACGAGCTGCGCCGGCACGGGCAGCGGCGTGTCCGCCCACCGCTGCTGCAGGCTGCCTATCGCGCGTCGACCCGCAACTCACCCTTCGCTCCGGCGGGCGGGAGCCCGCACGCTCCCGCAGGCCGCCGTCGCGGCCGATCGAGTAGCCGGCGAGCGGGCGCACCTGCGGGGGGGGGAGTGCGCCCGAGAGTACGCGCGAGGAGCCGAGGTCGAGCGCGGCAGCTGGCCGAGCGGGCGCGGGCGCGCGTAGATGACGAGCGCCACGCGCCCCGTGTCGAGCGCGCGGTGGTGGAGCGTGTTGAGGCGCAGCTCGTCCTGCAGCTGCCGCCACTCGCCCGGGTGGATGTCGCACTCCTGCAGCTGCCCGCGCCGGTCCGCCCACCACCGCCCGGCCGCGGTCGCGAGAGAGGTTGCGACCGCCACGTCGGCGTACGGCCAGTCGACGTACACGCGCCCCCTGCCACTGCCGAGCAGCAGCCGCCGGGCGAGCGAGGCCGCGTCCGAGCTGGCGGCGCTCTCGATCGCGGCGCCGAGCTGGTGGGCGCCTACTCAGGCTCGGTGTGTGGCTGCGAGTCGGTGGCAGACGCGCGACTCCTCGGCCGCCGAGCTGGTGTGGCGCCCGGCAGCTCGATGATCCACGACGCGCCCCGCGCCTCGCAGTGCGGAGGACGCCGCGCTCAGAGGCGCCGAGCTGGGCAGTGGCCGAGCTGGGCAGTGGCCGAGCTGGGCAGTGGCCGAGCTGGGCAGGTGTGCGTTCGGGAGCACGCGACAGAGTGCCGTCGACGCCGTGGGCTCTTCAGGTGCGGGTGGAGGGCAGGGGTGTGGCGGTGCGCTCGGGCATCCGGTGCGCCGCGCCTTGGAGGCGATGCACTCGAGGAGGACGCCCTCGGCGCGGAGGGACCTACTCACAGCTCCACGGTTCACAGCTCCACGATTCACAGCTACGATTCACAGCCCTCGGCGCGGAGGGACCTACTCACAGCTCCACGATTCACAGCTCCACGATTCACAGCTACGATTCACAGCCCTCGGCGCGGAGGGACATGGTGAAGGGCAGCCGCATCGCCAGCTCGGGCCAGCCGCGCGGCGGCGTCGCAGCGACGACCGCCGCGTCGTCGGACGGCCGCGCCTGCGAGAGGCAACACGCAGCTGAACAGCCGCGCCCCTCGTGAGCCAGACGGCTGCCGAGCGCCCCAAGTCCGCGCCTGGCCGCGCGGGGGGGCGCCGCTCATGCGCAGCGCGACCGAGCGCGCGGGGGCGAGCGGCGGCAGCCGGCCGGCGAAGACGGCGGGCGGCGCCAGCTCGCCGCGCTGCGAGCCGTCGAACGCGAAGGCGTACGCGAGGCCGTGCCGGTTGCGCGCCGCGTCGGCGGGCGGCGGCGGCGGCAGCGCGGCGACGGCGTCGAGCAGCGCGGCGACGTCGAGGAAGGGGAGGAGGGCGAGGTCGCGCCACGGGCGGCCCTTTGGGTCCTTCTCGATGATGTAGTCGCGCGGGTAGTGCGGGCGGAGCGGGTGGCCGCCCGCCGGGTCGCAGGCGGCGAGCAGCAGCTGCGCGTGCGGCGGCGGCAGGTGGCGCGCGCCCGAGGCGGGCAGCACCGACAGCAGCTGCTCGAACGGGCGGAGCGGGGCCGACGGCGCCCACGCGGCGGAGCCGGCGGCCGGGTCGAGCGAGAGGAGGGCGGCGACGTCGACGAGGAGGGGCGAGTGGTGGTACGGAAAGTACCTGTGGCCAGCGCGAGGTGTGAAGAGGAGGCGGCCTTGAGCAGGAGCAGCGGAGGGGAGGCACCTGTTCACAGCGCGAGGTGTGAAGAGGAGGCGGCCTTGAGCAGCAGCAGCGGTACGGGAAGCACCAGTCCCACGAGGGCACCCCGTCGAGGTAGTATGAGAGCGACCAGCGCAGGCCGCGCAGCAGCTCGGTGCACCAGCGCACGACGTAGCGCGCCAGCGCGCGGCCGTCCAGCGGCGGCGGCGGCGGCGCGCCCGGCGCCGGGGACGACTGGAGAGGCACGCGCGTCGCGTAGTAGCGGGCGTGCGCCTCCGCCTGCCGCGGCGGCAGCGCGCGGAAGTGCAGCTCCATGAGCCCCGCCACCCGCTCCACCCCCTCCGCCTCGCTCTCGCCCTCGCGCCCGCCCGCGAGCGCCGCCTCTGCGAACGACGCGGCGGAGACGGACGCCGCCAGCGGCGGCTGCGGCGGCGCCGGCGCCAGCGGCGGCTGCGGCGGCGGCGGCGGCGGCGGAAGAGGCGCCAGCGTGTGCGCGGGCGGGGGCGGGGGCGGCGGCGGCAGTGGCGGCAGTGGCGTCGGCGGCGGCAGAGGCTCCTCGTGTGCCTCCACCACCGCCGCGTCGGCCGCCCGCGCCGTGGAGGTGGTGAAGGCCGTCGCGAAGCCGCTGTAGATGGACGGGGCGGTGCTATTTGCGGCGCCGTCGGCGGCCGCGCCCTCGTCGGAAGGCGCGCCGTGCGCGGGCGCGGAGCCGGCGCCGCCCTCGACGCCGTTGCTGATGCGGAGCAGCCGGCGGAGCGCCTGAAGGCAAGAGCTAGCGAGGGGGGCTCAGAGAGGGAGCCGAGTGCGCTCCTTTCTCGCGGCAGCCGCCGGGCGGCGCGGCGCCTCGGAGGCGGCGTCGGGCGGCGGCGCGACAGGCACGGCCGCCCCCCACGCACCGCCCGGCGCGGCCGGGGGAGGAGGAAAGAAGGCGGCGGGCGGCGGCGCGGCAGGCGCCTGCGGCGGCGCGCGGAACCACCCGCGTGCGCCGCGCGCCCCGAGGCCCCCGCCCGATGCCGCACATGGACTGCCAACGGGCGCCC